TGAATTGAAATCATTTACATTGATGGTTATAACTGACACATATTGGCTTATCATTGCCATGTTATTTTCCTGCTGTTGGTTCCCTACTTTTCCCCCTCTGTTTATTTGCTTGCTCTGCTTGGTATTTCCTTTCTATTGTTTTTCTTGAAATTGTGGTCATTTTATGTTTTTCTAGAATATCTTTTAGTACTCTTTGTAGGGTTGATTTCACACTCATGAATTTCTTCAGGTGTTCTTTGTCATGGAAATATTGTATTTCTCCATTAATTTTGAAGGATAGTTTTGCAGTATACATCTGGATTGGAATTTTTTTTCTTTTAGGACCTGAAATACTTCTCTCCAAGCTCTTTATGACTTGATGGTTTGTGTTGAAAAATATGCCATGATTCTGATGGGCTTTCCTTTGTAGGTGATCTGTTTTTTTCTTGAACAGCTTTTAATGTTCTGTTCTTTTGCCAAATTTCTGAGATCTTCATTATTATATGTCTTTGTGTAGTTTCATTTTGGTTATGGCTAATTGGAGTTCTATATGCCTCACATACTGTATTTCTGATTCTTTTTCCATGCTTGGTAAATTTCTGCTGTTACTTCTGCAAATAGTCTTTTCATGTCATTTGTGTTGATGCCTGCTGTTTCATTGGCACCTATTAGTCCAAATTGTTTTTGTTTGCATCATCTTGCAGCTGTTAAATTGTTATTTCCTGGTGCCTTGTTAATTTTAAGAGATCCTTTCTTTCATGATTGTTAGCTGCAATACTGTCTTCAAGGTCTGAAAGTATATTTTCAGCTTCCCAAAGTTCATCTGGAATGAGAAAAGGCCTAGAACAGCAAAAGCAATCCTGGGAAACAAAGGAAAGGCAGGAGGCATCACAATCTCTGACTTGAAATTACATTATAAAACTACTTTGATAAAATCAGCACAGTACTGGCAAAAAGAAGATTTGAGGAGCAGTGGAACACAGTAGAAGATGCAGACACAACCATAAAGACACTCAGCCACCTTATCTTTGAGAAAGGAGCCAAACATGTTTACTGGAAGAAAGACTCTTCAAGAAATGGTGCTGAAAAACTGGCTCTCTACATGCTGAATACTAAAACTAGACCCATGTCTATCACCATGCAGTAAACTAAAGTCAGAATTGATCAAAAATCTAAATATTAAAAGAGAAACACTAAATCTACTGGAAGAGAAAGCAGGTAGAAATCTTGAACACATAGGGATAGGCAGAGAGTTCATGAACAAAGCCCAAACTGCGTGGGAAATACTTCAAAGAATCAACAATTGGGATCTCATCTTATTGAAAAGTTTTTGCACAACAGAAGAAATCACTAGCAGGGTAAAAAGAAAACCCATTAATTGGGAAAAAATTTTAGCTAACTGTCCATCAGATAAAGGACTTCTATCTAGAATAGAACCAGGATTAGAGGTCCCACTTAATCTAGTTATTCCTTCTTTGGGTAGTTTTTCAAAAAAGACTGAAAACATCATACCACAGCAACATATGTGCACCCATGTTTATAGCAACACAATTTGTCATAACTAAATCTTGGAAACAACCCAAACGCCCATTAACCAAAGAACAATTAAAAAAGATGTGGTATTTTTATACAATGGAGTATTACTCAAGTATAAAAGATAAACTTGAGGCTTTTATAAGGAAATGGGTGCAACTATAGACCATACTCATAAGTGAAATAAATCAGACTCCCATGTGTAAATATCATATTGTCTCCCTACTGTAAGAACCTGAAAGAGTAAATAAAACCTGAAAGATACAATAGATATTGTGAAAGGGAAAGAAATTGCTCAAAGAGAAGGAACAACTGGGATGAGGGAAAGGAGAAAAGAAAGAAGAAAGGGAAAATATATATGTATATACAAGGAAGGCTGGGATAATTGTATTATTGATGTCTATTGGTTTATTGAAAGGAACATCTTAAATTTTTTGACCAGTTTTGCATGCTTATATCTGGTAATCTGAACATCTAATTTGAAGATAACAATATGCAATATAACAATCATTGTTGAATTCCTACCATCTTGTTTAGTGAGGCTCTGTATCATTTCTAATATTTTTAATCACTTTTTATTCTCTTTAATGGTTTGATCAATGTTGCATTCTTTCATCTGGTAATGTGAGCAACTTCACTGAAGATAGCAATATGTAATATAACAATCACTGTTAATCCCTATCATTTGGTTTGAAACCCCATATCATTTTTAATGTCCTTGCTTTGTTTTGTTTGTATTTTGCTATCATCCTTTTTAAAATTATTCTCTTTAAAATAAAAACAAAAAGAAGAATGCAGATAGTAAAGGCCAGGTTTATAAGGTTTCTGATTAGAATGGAGATTTTATTGGAAACTAGACTAGAAGTCATGTGTGTTACATTCTAGGAAAAAGTTTGTGTACATTTTGTCCATATCCTGAGACTTTGCAGGAACCTGAGATTAAAGGTGGTGAAGTAATTACTCTGGTGGAATAAATTTCAAGGCAGCCTAAAATGCAGGCTATGACATGGATACTGCTGGCTGCTTTCAGCCAGATCTACAGTGAGAATGATATACAAAGAACATAGCTGAATAATATTAAAGTTTGTACTTTCACCAGAAAGTGCCTGTGAAGTTGAGGTCCAGGAGAGCATGGCTGCTGAAAAGATTAGCATTAAAAACAAGTCAAGTACTTTGCATCAGGACTAAGGAAAAATGGCTTGAAAGTCTCTCAGTAATTGATCTGAGCTCAAAGGTGTAAAAAAAAAAAATCTTTTGAAAGACTTTTTTTTGAGAAGAGAGCCCCACAGCATTCTGTTCATTTAGGGCCATCTGGGCCTAGGGAAATATTTCTGTAAGTTCAGCCATTCAGGCTCTGAGAGACCTCTGCAGCTGCAGTCCACGGGGGCCATACTACTGCTTGCTGTGTCCAGCAAAGCTCTTGAAACTCCAGGTGGAGGATGAAAAATGGAAAAAAGAGTCAAGAGGCAGAAAGCTGAGGCCAGGTGGAGCTCCCTATCCTGATGGGAGAAAGGAACTGCCCAACAACTGCAGTGCATTTACTTATACAATCAGCAAAAGAGGCTGTTTACAGAGATTTTTAAGGGAAGGGTAAGATCCGGAACAGAAAGAACATCTAATCATCAACAAAACATCGTGCCTCGATGGTTACATGGGTCACAAGAGAGTTGTCTATATTATCTCAGCAGAAGACCAAATCACTATGTGCATAAGCTCCTTGAGCTGTGTACACTTCTCATGGAGCCCTGCCAAACTCATAAGAAGTAGTGACCTTGGCCTAGATACCTGTGGTACAGTCAGCTTCACTCCCAACTGCTCAAACTGGCAGTAGACCTTAGTGTCGATTACATGGTGCTGGGTTTTCAGGTTTGCAGAATGCAAGAGTTGTGGGTCATGGAAGCTTCCACCCAGGTGTCAGAAGAAGGCCTAGAGGGCCAGGCAAAAAGCCCCTGAGAGGGCAATGAAAGAAGCTGTAAAAGTGAAGCCAGAAGTATAGAGGAGACCAGGAAGTCAGAGATGCCAGGAACCTGGCATGTTTCCCTGTTGGAGACCATACAAAGTAGTTCCAAACGGTATTTAATATTAACCTCTTGACTTTCTGTGTTTACTTGTGAGTTGTCCAAAGCTTAGGCACCTTGTCTGAAAATGGGCAGTAGACTCATAGTAAGTAAACCTCTATGAGTCACTGGTCACCTCTGAGGCCTATATACGCCTGTGACAAATTAAAGGACAAGATAAGGTCACAGCAGAAGATGTCTGGCTTCAACCCCGATTAACTTAAGGAGACTATAGCTTCAGTATCCACACTCCTACAGCAAATACCAACCTAAAGATAAGGTAGTTCTCCTGATTGACATAATTTACTACTTGGGAAAATTCTCCCAAGGTCCAGCTCAGATTCCCATGTTTTCGTGAGTATTCCCCTCCTTTGTTTGTAAACCAAGTAAATAGAGGTTACCCAGAGAAGTCTTTGTCTAACCCAGAGAATATCAAATGCTGTAAGAGAGTTAGACCCTCCTGGAGCCCTGAAATCATTTCAGTTGTCTCACTTATTTAAGTCTTTGCCATCCACTCATTTGGGAGATTGCAGGCCTGATCAGCCTGCAATAACTGTGGGTTATTAGGCTGATATTTCCCAAGGAAAGCAACAAGCCATGTGTGGAGGGGGGCCATGTGGGCTAAAACCAACAAGGACATAGGGGTGGGGCTGCCCAATCCCTTTAGAACTCACATCTCATATCTCATAAAAACCTGCTCTGAGTGTGCTAAACTTGGAGCCATAGGATTTAATATCTGCCCTACAGGGTTTCAGTCTTGCTTTGATCTGATTCCTCTTAGTTCCTCTATTTCTCCATTTCCACTAGCTGTGAACTAGTGGAAATGGAGAACTGTGTGTGTGTGCATGCATGTGAAGGTGAACATATGCAAATGAAAGGATGTCTGTGACAGCATGTATCACATATGTATGTGCATATGTATGGATCTGGATGTATATGTATACAAGTGTAGTGTTTGTGTGTGCATATGCATGCTTGCATGTGAGTGAATATGCATATGTGTGTTGTGTAGCTGTGTGTCTGTGCATGCAGACACAGACATGCAAGGAGGGTGTTAAATTTGAAGCACTGTTTGACAATTCAAGGCTAACTACTACCTCCACCAAGAGCAGAAAAAAGTGGAAATACTTTTGGGCTGATGCTTATAAACAATGTGTTGCTTATCAATACTTTGCATCTAAACTAAATTGGGATGATTTTTTTGTGGAAAACCATGTTTTAAATTCCAAAGACTACTTTTTTATTGCTGCAGATATCTGGCATGTGACTCACCCTTCCCTACAAATCCCAGAAAATCTGGTCCTAAAGGTGTGGCTATCAAAAAACTTAGACCATTAACTTAGTAATGAAATTCTGCCATGTCACTGAGTCTCAGGGAGTTCCTGTCACATGTCCAGAATGGGAGATGCTCTAACACTCACCTGTGTCCTCAAAGAAGTAGATGGTGACAGCAGGGCTCAGGTTTCCTCCAAAGAACTCAACATACTTTTTCGTATCATCACAAGTGATTCTGATAAATAAAAAAATACTTAGGGGGTGAGTATCATACAAATTTCAAATATATAGCTCCTTCATTACATCTTCCGGTCTAAACAATATTATTTCACACAACACATGCTCCTCTGCTTAAACTTTTACTTTCTCCATACCTTGTGTTAAAAAAAGAGCTTTGATGTGAATAATGAAATGTTTGAACACTTCTACCTTTATAACCAATATTTTTTCTCTTATTGGAGTTGCAATTTTTTGGCTCTTCTTTTTTGCCTTTACCACTCTGCAATTCCTAAGACACTGAGATACAAGTGAGGCAGGAGGATATAGACTTCTTAAAATGCAGAGTTCTGGTGCAGAAGCAGGAGCACAGTCACTGAACACTGCTGAATCACAAGAGAACTAGCTAATAATTCACATTAGCATGGTGGTGTCAGAAACCCTGTGTGGAGAAGGAAGACTTACCTGGTAAGGTCAGTGAATCTCAGAAACAGTGTGTGCGGTGTGGGGTGACTCACACAAAGCCTAAGTATTTATGATTCTCTCTTATACGTTCAAAATGAGGCAAAACTAATCTATCTGAAGAAAGAAAAAGGACTTTTAAAAATCAAATATTACCTTTGAGGCCTAGGAACAGGGACTGCCGAGAAAGATGAAGGGAAGAGACTTCTGGGGTGATGTATGCCACACACCTGCATTGGCTGTACAAGAACACCAGCTTTGTTAAGTAGTATACTTACGATACATGCACTTTGCTGTTTAAGCTTTTTATTAAAAAGACCCAAAGAGGTGTTGATCCCAAGCTAGTGATGTGTGTGCTAGTGTTTGGAAGGAAGTTCTGCTATTTGTAATTGATCTTGAAATGAAGAAAACAAGATAGATTGATGGATGGATTGGGGATAAGTGGAGGGTCAGACCAGAAAACAGCAGAAATGTTGGTTATAGAATCCAGGGGCTATCACATAAGTGTTCATTAAAGGTTTGTTTTAAATTTTCTGCCTGCTTAAAAATTTTTGAAAAAGATATTTTTGTAAGTCTTGTTTCTACAAATTCAGAGCAGAATATAAAAAAGGGGTAGCATCCAACCAAGGCCAACATCCCTTTTCCCTTCTCCCAACAAATACCTGGTTTGTTGGCTCTTTACTCTCCCCACCACAGCCTTGGTGTTTGGCGGAAGATGACCCTTGCTGCAGTCCCAGAGGTACCATCTAGCATGTGGCCACCTTGCCTTTGGTGGTCACATCAGCTAGAGATGTGCCCTAAAACTAGTCCTGTCAGACTACCCTTTGGTTCTGGCTCTGGTGCCTGCTGTGCCTTTTATACTCATGCCCCTAGGCACTGTCAGAAACTGCTTCATGTTGGCAAGTGGAACTAGTCTCAGGATGACATGGAGTAAAACATTAAAAATAAGACCAAGTGATTGCTGCTGGATCAAATCCCGTGTTATATGATTACAAAAAGTGAGTTTGAGTCACCCACTACCTAACTGCTATAGCTAGGTATAACTTGAAAGTTATGGTGTAATTTCAAGTAGCCTTGAAACCTGCCGAGGCCAAATGAAGCACAGTGTACCGTCTCTTTAGGGACATTCTGCCATGCATCTCATAAAGATCTGCTACTTTGCAGAATCTCACTGGTTGGCTTTTTAAAAATTATTATGTTATTAGTATGTGTTTGCAATAAATAATGCTTATATTCATTGTGGGGACTTGGTACATGTACACGTACTAGCTGGCTTTTAACTGCTGCCACTATCACCCACCCTTACTCTTCTGTGGACAGGACTAACTTCAGGATTATCAGTCCTTCCCAAGAAATACAGTTTTATGAGGTTTCTTCCTTTTAAAATCTTAATTCTCTTTAAAGGTAGTATTTAAATAGCAACAGCAACATTATGCTCCTGAGAGCAAATAGTTGTTCCAGCTCTAACTCAAGAGAGCAGCAACAACTTGTTTTGTAAAATTTTAATGCTCCCTTCTTAGGGAGTTTTTAACTATAAGTAGAGGACTAAATAGAGAGCTCAAAAGTGGGATTTTCCTCATGTGACTGTCTGTCTGCAGTCCTGATATGTCTCACCCGCATGCCACTGTTTCTGGGCAAAGCAGAAATAATCAGCTCACCAAAAATACCCATGATTGATCCATGCTTCCCCTTTCAAAGAAAAATGAGAAGCTTGCCCTTCCGTGTTCTTCTGGAAACCCTCACAGGTGCAGGGACACCAGGCTGGTGCCTGCAGTGGGGCCTCCTGCCATTGGCTTGGCAGGCTGGGCCTGTGATGAGTAACCCCAGAGTCACACTGTGCTGACAGCAAGGGGCCCCGACCGTCCACCCTGGAGATGATGATTAACACGGGGGTTGGGCTCTTTCCTTTTCATAGGAGATTGAGAAAACAAATTTTTTTCTTAGAAAAATAATAAAGAATAAGTAAAACAAAACAACTAGTTAGTAAAGGGGGTTTGAGTTTGTGAGCCCAAAAACAGGTCCAAATATCAATAAAGGACATGACACAGATAACATTTCAAATCCTTGGCAAAGCAATGACCTCTTTGGGAAGTGACATAAAGGCCCTTTTGAAAAGTTAACTTTGGAGCCTATATATAAATTCCAAGTAGGCTGGAGTTGGTAGTGATGGGGTTTTCCTGAGACAGCTCCTTCCAGGACCCTCTAAGTCTGGTGGGTATTGAGGCATTTCTTTGTTCCTGGTATGTACTACTGGCTCAAGCTTCAAGTTTTCATTGGACACTCAGAATTTCATCTGTTTCTGGAAGGAAACCACAGCTCTGTCTGCAGCCAGCTGTCTTCAGCATCCCCTTACAAAAAACAAAGGCCTGTATCTGATCCTGTCAACCAGCATCTCAGTTTCCTGGGAAGGGTCTCACCTACTCCATGTGGGGCTTCAGGGGCACTCTCAGGGCAGTTTCACCCTTCTGCTATCAGGTTCTGACCTATATTCTAAACCTGTCCACAAATTTGATCTGCCCCTGCCTGCTGCTATCCAAGTTCCAGGTTTCTTGCTTCATTTCTATCATCTTTCTCCTCTGATCAGGATTTAGCATTTTGCCTCATGTGATCTGTCTCTAATTTTGTTTGGAGTTCTGCCAGATTTAAATCGATTAATCCAAGTGACCACTGTAGAGTCTTGTGACTCTCACTAAGGTCATTTTAGGCTGATGCAGCAGCACTGCATACAGAGGATTGGGAGAGAGGCTGTCAAGTTCTTTAAGAGCAATGGTTTCTCTGTTTCTGTCACTTTCAGAAGCTCAGCACAGACTGCAACGGAAGCGCAGGCTCAGAGTCACAGCCCCAACTTAGCTAGAGCAGAGGTGCTGCTGCAGCATCCCGATTAGGGCTCATGCCGCCATCCTCTGGGTGGGAGCTGCCATCTGGGAGCTAAGTATAACCACTTGATGTCTTCTGGCCACAGCCATCAGGGAATCCAGAGTTTTCCACCCACTTTCGGAGTCTGCACTTGGGAAAAGCACTGTATTTAAAGGACCTAACAGGCAGCTGGATGTCCATGCAGTGCCTGTGACTGTTCCCAGGGAAGCAGGCCTGACAGTCACTGGGCTTGTTCGCCCAGCTGGCCCTGCAGAAGCAATAGCAGAAACTCTAGAATGCTTGATTTGTGAGGCAGTGAGTGCTGTGGCCACTCAGCTGAGGTGCTTATTTGTCAAGTCCAAATTAGCAGGTGTCAGTCTGCCTGTTGGATCTCAAATCAGAGCATTAGCCTCTCTCTTCTGCCTGAAATGCACTAGCCAGTGTGCAACAAGAAACCAGGAGCAAGCAGAAGGAAGGTCAGCTCACAGAGTCAGAGAGAGCTCTTAGCAAAAGGTCCAAGAGACAGGGACACAGACAAAATACTGGAAGTTCAGGGAGCACTAAACGTGCATTCTCCTAAGGCTTGCTGGGGCCAGCAGGGCAGGCACAGCCTCAAGCAGTGCAGCCAGCGTGGCCCCCTACACCATGCTACACCAGTGTGACAACAGAAGCACCTGGCATAGGGACAGTATTCCTGGGAGTGATTCCCTCAGGTGAGCCCAGCCTTCACTGGCTGCCAACGAAGACTAGAGAGAGAGATTGCGCCTCCCTGTTTTAGGTAAGGGATGGTGGAGGCAGATCTCACCTCTTTTACTTGTGAGCCTCAGATGGGTGTCTGCTGCCCAGCTGATTTCGAAGGAATACGGATGCATGGTGGAGGCACAGAAAAGCCTCCTCCTAGCAGAGCTCCACTTGTTCCCTGCCACACTTTCCTTATCCCTCACTGTGATGCTTGCTGTGATAAGTCAGTCACATCCTCAGACACAGAGGGCCTGCCCTGGCTCCTGACTCCGTGCTTGCTAAGACTCTATGGACACACTGAGTGGAAGTTGTTAAGATTGTCTCCATGCCAGGGAACACCCTCAGTACACATTAAATGCACTTATTTACTTTCTCCTTAAACCCCTGGATAATGCCGGTCTTAACTGATCTTAATGCCACTAGAGGTACACACAACAAATTCACTCAGCAAGAGCTTACTTGCCACCAGCTGTGGCCAGCACAAGCTTTGTGCAGCCTGATGTACACACACCATTCCACCAGGAAGGCTGCCTAATGACAGGAGGCCAGGGTGCTGTGGTGAATGAAGTACATGCATCGGGAAAAGGATGCACACACTGCATGGAGAGGTGGCCCATAAGCCTGAGGAAAGCCAAGGAAGAGATGTGGGACCAAGCAAAAGGGCATGGAACCTCTGGAACCTGGCATAGAATAGGGCAAATTATCTCTTTGCTAATTGTTTTTAGTATTAGTTTCTGTTTCAGTGTTTGTTAAAATATTAAAAAATAACTATGTTAGAATTACCTGAGCTAATTAAAGACAAAATGAAAACACATCTACTTTGGTCTCTCCTGAAACTCAGTAAGACTAGGGATTTTGTTTTTAAAATTAACAGCACAAAGGAGGACCAAAGAGGAGACAGCCAGGAAAGGGGATAATTTGTGGCAAATATCTCCACAGACCAGAGAAAGTGACTGGGACAGTGGTGAGGAAAGCCAGGAGCACCTCATTTCAAACCTGAGACCCTAGAACCATGGGCACAGCCGGGGGTAGGGTAGGCTAAGGCATGTGGGGCTATTCAAACACAGGCCAGGAAGCCATTAGGTGGCCAGACCACCCACAAGCCCTGCAGCCTGAGCCACCTCTCCTTCAGATTTGCATCTCTGGAGACACAAGGCACAATCTTGGGCTTGAAGGGGACCATGGCAGCAGAGCCCAGGAGGGTCTGGGCCAGACAGAAGTGCTGACCTTTCCCAGTCTCCACAGGATAGGACAACTCATCCAACAAGCCTACCAGCTTCCCAGAGAAGCTGACCAGCCTAAAAGTACTTCTGAAATCAAAACCAACAACTGTTCAAAACAGGAAATGTAAATAAACATGAAAAAAGGGAGCAGTGTAGGGATCAGCCTTAACATTTTCACCCCTAGAAAGGTGCTGCTTCCACAAAATGTGAGCAAGCTGCTCTGCTCACATCAGTGGACACAATCCAAACCCACAGAGCCCCTAAAAGCTGACATAATTGCTAGGAGGGGCAGCATATTAAAGAGTCCCAGAAAGCCCAACTAAAAGACAACAGGATCACAATGGGAAAGAAAAGACAAGCACACTAAGGACCAGTACCAGAAGAGCCAACATGCAGGTATCAAGCAATCCAGTTGGGTGTGCTGGTCAACAAAGAAGTCAAGATAAATCTCACAGGACTAAAGGTTGAGTCCCAGGTGGACCCAGTAGGAACAGAAGATCATATCAGGCGGCCCTTGCAGAGTCTCAGTACTTCTGGAGCGTGTCTGTCTCCAAAGAAAAAGATTTGATGCACTCTGGTGCCTGGCATCTCAAGAACAGCTCTACAGAGCAGCAGAAACCAGCATCACTCCAGCATCACAGACACTGTGATGCACCCAAGCCATCAGTCAGTCTCCTTGCAGGGAAGGATGGGTCCATCTGACCACAGCACAACGAGGGGAACCATGACAGGGGAGGGTATGGGCATGGCCCAGAGGAGCCTGAAATGAGGAGGAGCTCTCAGCATCACTGCCCCAGGACAGTCCAGGGAGCAGTAAGCTGAGGGCCTGGGAATGGCATCTGTAGGAAGCCAAAACGGATAAGATATCCAAGATGAGACCACAAGGGGAGCTAAGACTCAGGGTCCATGAGCACATGTGTAGACAGTAAAATAAATGGGAAAGAAATCTTTATTCCAAGAGAAAAGAAAGCTACAAGC